TCACCCCCCATCCTTTGTGCTGTTCCCTGTAGAATAGTCGTGGCTAGTCTAGATGATCATGTGATGTGCCAGTACCACTTCAGTTTGTGTCTTTTCACTGAAGTCAGGAGGTAGTCATACGACCAAATGGTGTTTCCCATTTCGTCTCTCAGTACCTCATGTTGATTTTGAGGGATTGTGTGTTGTTAGCATAATTGTAAGAGTTCTGTTACACTACAAACATGAAGTAATCATCATCATCATCCAGTGCCAGATCTGCGACAGACATCGGCGATCATGGTTTTCCTTTCATTCCTTCGCTCGGATGCTCTAAAAAAAGCTACATTTCCCTGATCTTTCCCTGTTACCCATTTGTTCAGGTTCCCTAAGTATGTTGTTCTGGGCCTACCCCTTCCTCGCTTGCCCTCAATTTTGCCAGTGGGAGCTAGATGTTCAAGACCCTTATGTCTATTCAGGTGTCCCCAAAACTGCATTTGTTGTTTTCTCATTGTTTTTAACATTGAGCGTCCCACGTGGACTTCATCAAGCACTACCTCATTTGAAGTAAACGCAAAAGAATCTAAAAAAAGAAAACGAAACTGTCAAACAATTCATATCTGACCCAATGTACCTTATTTTCTTTCTCTAGTTCACTAACAGGTCATTTTCATCAGCGAGGCCAAGCCATTCTGACTTTCAATATGTCCTATCTAACTAAAAAAATCAAACAACAAAAAACAAAAATCAATAAACCCGAAATCTCCATTTCGACCAAAAGTGGATACATTCACTTCTTGCGCTCGGCCATCTCTTTGCCGCCCCATCTCGCCTATTGGCGATGTTTACCACCCAGTTTCTTTGAATTTCCCCCAAAATATGATGGCAAAGCGTTAAAGTCTGCCAATTAGCGATGCTTACCACCCAGTTTCTTTGAATTTCCCCCAAAATATGATGGCAAAGTGTTAAAGTCTGACGTGGTCCACAGCCCCAGTGTGCAGGTACAACGGCCAGATGTTGACAGAAGGACAGGTGTACCAGGACGACAACTGCAGGGAGACCTGTGTCTGTGAGGACGCGGCGAACAACTACGTCAGCTGTGTGCCCAGGTGAGGTGGTGTGTGTGTGTGTGTGTGTGTGTGTGTGTGTGTGTGTGTGTGTGTGTGTGTGTGTGTGTGTGTGTGAGAGAGAGAGAGAGAGAGTGTACTCATTCAGAATGATAGATAGAGATAGATAGATAGATAGATAGATAGAAGAGATAGATAGATAGATGGATAGATTAATAGATAGATTAGATAGATAGATGGATAAATAGATGGATGGATATGAATTGATGGATGAATGGATAAACAGACGGATGGACAGACTGACAGACAGACTGACAGACAGACAGACAGACAGACAGACAGACAGACAGACAGACAGACAGACAGACAGACAGACAGACAGACAGATGACCTCACCCCTAAATCCAAATCCAGCTTTAATCTTTAACAACACTATTACGTCACCACAGATGCATGACCTATAAAGCCAACCCGTCTTGCGAGCTGCTCCCGGACCCCGCCGACCCTCAGTGCTGCCAGATCCCCAAATGCTCCGCCCAAGACCCACTCAACCCACAGGGCGTTACCGGAGGATACACCGTGGTGGCCACGCCCCCGACACTGGCCCCACCCCCTACCAAACCGACGAGCGTGCCCAATGAGCCTACACCTGTTGTTGTCACATTGCCAAGAGGTAATAGCAGCTGTTTGATGCAGTGTGGCTCTCTGCATGCCGCACTGAACAACTTATTATTTGCATAAATTAGCCAAAATGTACGATGCAGATGACCTGAGTTTGAGTCCCCAAGGGGAACTCTTGAACTGGAATTCTGTGGATAGTTTTCAAGGCTTCCCCCTTCCTTCAGGG